GTACCTAAAGGGCATCTTTATTTCCATGTTAATCATACCCATTGGGATTGTTTTGTTAAAGCTATAACAGAAAGAAAATGTTCAGTACATATGTACATTTGGGTAGAGTGGTTTTCTCTTAGAGGAAGATTCAAAGGGAAGTTTAGAGAACATAGCAGTGGGATTTAATTTAGCTGTGCAATTAAACTATAACTTATGACTCAGCTGCACCATAACATCTCTTTTGAAGCATCTCTAACTGGAATTGCATGTTGCAGAGAAGCTGACACTGAATGCACCCATTTCTTGTTTTCTCTCTGTGTTACAAATGGTACAAAAGCTATTCTGGACCAAACACATAGCAAGAAGAAAAAATGGCAGTGTGATAATGACCTGTATTTTATGGCATTACGTAGAGGCAGAGAAAGGCAGAAGATGTAGGTGATTTTAATGCCAACATATTTTGCTTAGCATGTAGTTCAATCAGTATACTGTTGAAATTATAAGGAGTTTATTTATTTTTGTAATCCGCCATTTGTGTACAGTTATGGTTGGGTTATTGGTTTAACGTTTTGTTTTTGTTGCATTTACATTTTGTGATTTTTATTATTTTGGTGTGCAGCACTTCATGCATCATACATGAAAAAAGAAACAAATAGCACATGGTTTCCCCTATTTGTAAAGGATAATTTTGGACAACATTAAATGAAACAATGTGTGTTAATCAAGTAGAGTCTTGGGTGATTAATTCATGGGGATCAGTTTTGATCAATAAGAGGTTCAAACTGAGGGAAGCCTTGTTTATTTTATGATGTGGGACATTTAACTGCACAGGTCATGAAATGATCTATTATACAAACTTGTTTTGCTTTAGTATTTTTCTTTTACTTCAGAGACATAACTGTGCACATTTTGTCCATCTCTGATATAAGATTGAGTAGAAAGTACCACTAATTGAAGTGCCTTCATTATAACCTCAAGCACATTGCAAATGAAACATACTGCAATAGGTACTGCAGAAGTGTCTAATTCTGTTTTTATTTACTTTTTTGGTTTCCTTATCTAACTAGAAAATATTCAAACTGTACCTGGAAAATGTAAAGGTAGCTCAACTGTAGTGGAGCAGAAGCTAGCCTCATCTTCACTTTCACAGTTGCTTGCCAGGACTTTCTTAACTTTTAATCCAACAACTTTAATCACGTCTCCAGTTGACAAGCAGCATTCATGCCCACACTTTTCATAAATTGAACCTAAACGAGAACATAAAGATAAACATAAATGTTTTATGGATTGTTCATGGCAGTTTACAAGCATTATTTGTTACTCTTCCCCTCCTAGATTCCTGGTAGTTTGGTTTACACCGAAGGCACTTGCAGCCTATCTCCCCTTCTGTGTGGGATTAAATCACATACCAGCAATTTCAGGTTGTGCCATTATAGGAAACTGTGAGGTCTTGTGAAGCAAACCTGCTACTTCAAAAGATGTTACTTTTGTTTTTTAAATGTATTTTATTGATTTTCAAATGTAAAACAATAAGAAAGATCAATTACTAATAAGCAACAATCAAGTCAGCATACAGAGCCTTGACAAGAAAAATGGAACATTAGCAGAAAGTTCCATCACTTACGTTCTGATAAAACTAATCAACTAAATTCGTAGTTCCATAATACTTCTTGTTACCATGTGCAAAGATCTAACTTTTTGTGATAAGGAAAGTGGCAGGAAAATGTACTGGAAAGTGTGGGTTAACATTTGCTTGAACATGACATCATCCTGGCAAACAAGTTGGGATGAATGCGCAATAAATAGGGCACCTAGAAGTACCCATGAATATCAAGGTAAGTTAGAACATAAACAACATTTCGAAACTTGCTAGTACTCCATCTTCTTAGTTCTGAAAGTGTGAGGTGGACCTCAGAGGAGAGAAAGTGCAAGCTTCTCCGACATATTTTCTTCAATGTAGCTAGTATCTAGTTCAGAATTGGAACTATTTATCCACACAACCTGCTTCCGGTCCATTTCCTTTCTTCATCGTGGATGTAGGAACCAAATATTTTTAGCCAAAGTGCTACATGTTTTCCTCAAGCTTGCTTGATTTCTGTTTTTTTGAACCTCAATTTTATGGTATAAGAACATAAGAAGAACCCTGCTAGATCAAGACACAGGCCCATCTTGTCCACCATCGTGTTCTCACAGTGGCAAAGCAGATGCACAATAAAGTCTGCAAGCAGGACTAGGAACCTGCGTTCCTCCCTTATGGCTTAAGAACTATTGACCCAGTAAGGTAGAAGTGAAGCAAAAACAGATGCATCCACACATAACAACAAAGTAACCTCCAATAGGGAATCAGTCTCTAACTGCTGCTAAACAGATGAGTGCTGATTGGAGTAAGTAAAAAATGGTGGTAGGCAGGTGGAGGTGGGGGGTGAGTGAAATGCCCCCTAAGCCATTGTCTGCATCACTGGTTTTATCACTTGTGATGTGTGTTATAAGCATTCCTCATCTTCAAAGGGCATTTTGTCGTGCATCTCAGAAGCTACCGTACATCCTGTTATTCTGTTTCTGTTGCCTTGTACTCTGCTATGCTGAATGATCTCACAATATTTGTCAAGGCCTGATCAGTCATGAACAGGTTACCTCCAAAGCTGGTGCATTCTCCTTCACTGGAGGTTTTTAAGCAGGGGTTGGATTGCCACCTGTCTAGAATTCTTTAATTGTGATTCCTGCATTGCAGGAGGTTGGGTAGATGACCCTTGGGTCCCTTCTAGCTCCACAATTCCATGTTCCATTCAACACAGACAATCCTTGTCCATGCCACTTTGCCTGCTGGCAAACATTTTGGAATGGTATGCTCTGTGACAAGTGGTATCAATGAAATGAATAAATATTCTTGTCTGTTAATCATCTGCAGCATCTAAATAAGCTGATTCTCAGAAGATGCAATATGACAGGCTTCTGAGAAAGTTTCCCAGCCAGGTGTGCAGTTAAGGATCAATTTTCACCTGATGCTCAGTCAGGGCTCCAGCCAATTGCCCTCCTCTTGTTTCCTTCCCTCCTCCCAAGTCGTGAGGAGTTGTTAAGTCTCCAGGTCAACAGCTTTATCATGTCTCAGCTGTTTCCTTTCTGCTTTCTCAGGCCAGGGAGCAGAAGTTGCTTGTCTTGCTTGCTGGCAGGCCCTGTTGACTGGTGACCCAATTCTGCCTCTAAGCAGGTGAGAAACACAGGGTCCAGCAGAGAAGGCCTCTCCTCCTCCCAGAGGGGAGGGGTTGTGAGCCAGAGCAGCCTCCTGCAGGGGCAGGGAGGGGTATTTGGCTCCCTGCTCCTGATTGCTTCTGCTGCTGTGGCCAAGCCTTCCAGCCAACCAATAGGGCTGGCTGGTGAGTGGGGCTAGCCACGTTTAAACAGCTGCGGTAGCGCTCAGCTCCCTAATTTTTTTAAAAAAAACCAACACAAACTGTTTCCTGACATCCTAGAGTGTACAGAGTTTTGAGTTATGAACCTTTTTTCTTTAAGCCTGTGAAAAGTAAGGAGTCAAAACAACCCATTGCTAGTAGCAGGTAATACTCAATGCATCTCATGGCATATGTGTGGGTAGAAAGCCATTTAGCAGCTACAGTGGTGCCTCGCAAGACGAAAAGAATCCGTTCTGTGAGTCTCTTCGTCTAGCGGTTTTTTCGTCTTGCGAAGCAAGCCCATTGACGGATTAGCGGATTAGCGCTATTAGCGCTATTAGCGGCTTTTAGCGGCTTATCAGCTTATTGGATAAGCAGATAAGCGGCTTAGCGGCTTAGAAAAAGAGGGGGAAAGGAAAAAAAACCTGCAGGAACTCGCAAGACATTTTCGTCTTGCGAAACAAGCCCATAGGAGATTCGTTTTGCGAAGCACCTCCAAAACGGAAAACTCTTTCGTCTAGTGAGTTTTCCGTCTTGCGAGGCATTCGTCTTGCGGGGCACCACTGTACTCATATAAATGGACCATTTTTATCTCTTCCAGGTGGGTGATAGGAAACACAGCCACTGCTGTCCACAACATTCCAATTTCCTTTATGCTACCTGCAGCAGAAAGATAGGAACAACCTAGACTGAGCCTGCCCAGAAGTTCTTTTCCCTGTCTACTTTCCCTAGAATGCAAGGAAAAGTCTGGAATGTTCTTTGCAGACACACTTAGATCTCTCTGAGCTATTTCAAGAGTGGAAAGTAGGGAGAGGACTGGCAAGAGGCACATGGTTTCAGTGGGTACTTGCACATGCCTAGAAAAGTAAAGAGTGGGCAGAGTTCAGTCTTTCAAGATTTATTTTGTTTCTTCCTAGAACCCTGAGAGTCACCAGAAGCAGTCAGTTACAAAAGAGTGCTGGAATTTGTTTTGAGTGCCAGACCTGAGCTCCCAGTTGCCATTGTTAAACAACAGGGAGTCAGGAATCCTTCCCAATCTGCTTCAGATCACCCAAAAGTCGATCAGGAAATCCTGAATTACCAGTTCCTGGCATGGTAATGACTTAGAAGGCAATGACTTACGTAGAAGGGAAATAACACCTTTTGCCACAAGTGAAGAGATTTGCAAACAGTGCTTCTTCAAGGCAAGCAGAAGTTTCCAACTTGAGGGAAGCTAATCTGGGTCAAGGGCAATGGTACTTACTGAAACTGAATGTTGTTGGTCTCAAGAGAGAATGGAGTATGCTACTAGGGGTCAAGTCAAACTACCATGTTAGAAGCACTGAAGTGACCTCTCTGGGGCACAAGGTAGTGTGTATGGTGGTTCTGAGCTACCCACACAACAAGAACCCCCTTCTGACATCGCTGGTGTGGTCCAAAGGAAAGCAAAGCAATACGTTTGACACCAGCTTGGCTGCAGGAGTTGCCAGGAGGAGGCATAACAAGATGCCACCCTTAGGACTCCACTCAGGATTTGTGTAGGGTTTACTCCTAAGCCTTTGCTTTTAAGGTGACAAAGGTTCACACCCTGTCCCCATTAACTCTTTTCTCCCATCATAATCAGCAGGCATAAGAGGGGAAGGCGATGCCATGGAGCGGGAACAGTTTTTGGCTAAATGGCCACTTCCCCTTGTGGAAAACCTTATTGGGGCCATAGGTAAAAAAAGAAAAAGGTAAAAAGGTAAAGGTAAAGGACCCCTGGATGGTTAAGTCCAGTCAAAGATGACTATGGGGTTGTGGTGCTCATCTCGCTTTCAGGCCGAGGGAGCCGGCGTTTGTCCACAGACAGCTTTCCAGGTCATGTGGCCAGCATGACTAAACTGCTTCTGGTGCAACGGAACACCGTGACGGAAGCCAGAGCATACATAAACACCGTTTACCTATTTATCTACTTGCACTGGGGTGCTTTCATACTGCTATATTGGCAGGAGTTGGGACAGAGAAACGGGAGCTCACCACGTCATGGGGATTTGAACCACTGACCTTCTGTTCGGCAAGCCCAAAAGGCTTAGTGCAGGCATGTCCAAAGTCCGTTTTGGGGCCCTTTGGCAGTTTATGGGGTAAAATCCTAAAAAACCTCAACAACTTCAATCTTAAAAAAAAAAGCTCAATAATTTCAACCCTAAAAAAAGTGCAACAACTTTGGTCGACCTTTTGGTTGGCCCTCACGGCCCTTCACTTCATCGAACCTGGCCCTCTTTGAAAAAAGTTTGGACACTAATGGCTTAGTGCAGGGGTGTCAAACTGAAATTCATCGGGGGCCGCATCAGCAGTTTGGTCACCCTCAAAGGGCTGGTTGTATCTGTAGGACTATGTGTCCACTATTATCATAAATTATTGTCACTGCATTCAATTATTACTGTTTTTTGTAATAATGTAAGTAATAACTAGCTATGAAAGCAGAAACATAGTCAGAATAATGGCAAGTAGAATGCATGTAAAGTGGAGGTTTCCTGTGTAGAATGGCCGGTGCCACTAGAGGGCAGACGTTCTCTGGCTTGTAGGCTGTCGCGCATGCGCTGAAGAGGCGGCTTTCTTGTTGGAAAAAAAAAAGCGAGAATAAAAGGTGAAGGCTGGCGGCCGGCGGCGGCTACACGGGCCACATGACGAGGTCTGGCGGGCCGGATTCGGCCCCCGGACCTTGTGTTTGACACCCGTGGCTTAGTGGTTTAGACCACAGCGCCACCTGCGTCCCTGCTATTGCAGCCATATTGCAGTGGTGGTGGGGCAGATCAAAAGTGGTAGGCTGTATCAGGAGTTGACTCTTACTATTTTGTATTTCAGCCTCGCAAAATCAGAGGTTTCAACACCACCCCCACCTTATGTATATTTATGAAATAATTGGGACCTGAATTTCCCTATTTTCCTCTTTACCTGTTTTTCTCTTTTGTTTCTATCACCCACATGTTACTCCACCCTATATATGTGTTTATTTATAACCTGCAAAAATTTCCTACATGCATACATACTGCAGATGTGTTTACAGAGCCTCATCAGTGATCCTGCCGATTCAGGAATGTCTATTAGACTATATGCCATTATTTTACATTTTAAACTGCCTTGAGTACAGAACTGACACATTGCCCATTACCACATGTGTGGTAAGTAAATCCAAATGACATTACTTATGGAAATGTAGCCCATCTTCTCAAGTGTGGTGCAGAATGTCCTGGATCAAGCTATTCATTTCAGTCAAGAAACAAAGTAATTTGAGCCGCCTGTAATCAAGTCATTTCCCTGGTATTGCTGACAAGGAGTGAGATCAAGTGACTTTTAAGGTAACCCCTCATTTCCAGTAATACGTTAGGGTCTCTGCAATGCATGTAAGAATCAAAAGCACATTGCTGGAGTAGATTATGCTATGCACCATATTTCATAGTGTATGCAGAGAATAAAATGTAATGCATTCCTCATTGTCATCATGCAAAATTTCCTGTGTTTTTCTTCACAAAGAAAGCATGAAATCCATCAAAGACATAAAGGTAATTAAGCAGAAATACTGATTCTTCCTTTCAACAGAAGAAAGATGTTGCATACTCCTCTTAGAGGAAACTGGAATAATGCAGTCTATTTACTAGGATCAAACAACGCCCCTGAAGGCTGGAATTAAAGAACTTAGATGCCTTTGAATCCACCTTTTTGAGATTGCTACTTTGTTCAATAAGAACTACATTTATATCCCTTTACAACCTCTTTCCTGCTTTTTTAAAAACAAATCCACATTAGCCACTGCTGTGATCACATCAAAGCAACCAAACAGTTAGTTCAATAGCTTTTCCCTCTGATTCTTCTAAAATGTTAAATGGGTACAGGGTGGGAGAGAGAAATATTATGGTGGTTTCTTTTTATGAGATTTTCCTGTCATTAAGTCTCCCAGTAATATTTTACTTTACCTGAAAGATAACACTGTAAATTTTAGAAAGTTTGTATACTACATGAGAGGAAACAACAAGTTGTACAGTCATCACTGCATTATGACAGAATGATTGAGGTAAATATAAACAAGTGAAAACAATGGGTTTTAAAATACATTTATTTAATGCTCTTTTTAGTTTGAGAAGATGTACTTTTGCAGCGCAGGGATCTTTTAAGTAAAGGTATAGATTATCATTTTTAAGCACTCATACTGCAATTCTTCATGTTTACTCAGAAGTAAATTCCATTGAATTCAACCCTATATATAGTACCCTGAAGAAAGATCAATCCTCAAAACTAGAGTGTAAAATACTAAAGTTACCATCCAGTTTACAGCTGCATGATGATGATTTATTCTCCTGTTTACATCCAGTGTGCACCCATCCCACATTTTGTAGTGCCCCTCATCTGATACTCAAACTGGGAGTCACAGGTACCAACCCAACCCCCAACATTGTCTGATTCACTCCAAACTGGTGCCAAGGTTCTGCAGTCGTTTGGCAGCATCTCTCTCCCCTCCTCAAACAAAAACCCTCAGTAATTGGTGCTCAAGGATCATAGGTATCACTCCAAAACCCAACATTATCTGATTCACTCCAAAATTTGGGGGTTTTGTAGTTAACAGAGGTTTCCAGTGATGTTCTTAAATCCTGCAAAGGCCCCATCTTTTATCCCTTAATAAAACATTCACTGCTGCAATGCTAGAGCTGCAGGGGTCCTCCTCCAAGTCCCCAGAACCAGAGTGGGTGGTAGCAGTGCAGCTTGGACTCCCCTCCCCCCACATCCCTGTTCCCCATCAGCTCAAGAACAGTGGCCCTTTAAACAAAAAGGGAAATCTCAGAAACCTTGACACCTGCATGGCTCAGGGGCTTCATGAATCCCAGCTGCTGTATATTGCATTTACTTTCCAACGCCAACACCTGCTGCTGTGTCTTCTGCAGCTTGTTCCTTGCCATTCCTCCACTCCTAGTTGTGTCCCTTCCTGTTTTTCTAGGAATTCGTTCCCTTGTGCTCAGTGGAGCTTATGTGATTGCAGCCTCCACGAAGGCATCTTCCCAGTGAGTGAATGGATTGGGTTGAAACAAGCCATATCACCTGGACCTTCAGCTGCCTATGTACAAACATACACAGAGGGAACTCCCTTTGCGAAGGTTAGTACTGTACATATCTGTTAGCTGACTGCTTTTTGTTCAGGACATCCAGGTTTTGCAGATACCTACCCAATCCTTAGAAGAAGCAAGGGGCATAGATTTATCTCTCCACATGCAATAGTAAAACTTTAAATGTTAAGAGCTTTAAGCTATTTCTATCCTAGGCAAATCCTTTAAAAATCACTTCTGCTGTTTTTTTGATTTATTTCTCCCCTGATGGGTTTATGACACTTTCTGCTGTTTCTCATTTATCTGGCGGGTTTGAACTTTGCATGCAGTGACAGAGCTTTGATGTAAGTGCCATCATTTTACAGGAAAGAGTAAGTTGACACCTCAGAAGCTTTTTATTTTAGAAAAAGAAACACCTTTTTGTTTGTTTGTCTTGCTTCTCAACTTCAGAATTAGCTGGTATTAAACATCATCCTTAAGTAATGTATAAGTGAATTAACCCCCTTCTGCTCCTTGTCTGCGTGTTCCCTTTGTCAAGATAGGGCCTATATTACAGATCCGGAAAGGTCTTGACTAGTCTAATTTATACAAGAAGCTTGTTCAGGTTGCTCAGTTTCAGATGGATGAGCGGGCAGATGGAAACCAAGAGATGCATAGGAGTGGGGTCAAGGGAGAACATTATAGGACTCATAGAAAACATGAGTCATTTTGGAGCCAGGAGGTGTGGGCGAGGTGAGATAAGGAATCAGCAGAATGTGGGACAGTATTATGACATTTTGCAGCGATTTGTGACCTTTTGTTGTGGGATAACACCTTTCTTAAAGCAATGTGTTCTTGAAACCATGCAAAGTTTGCCACCGCAGGATTGAGACTCTGCTGATCAATTATATTTTACAACCCCCTCCCCCCACAAAACAGTTACTGAGCTAAGCAATAAATAGAAGAAACATCTGCTGTTTATTTTATTCTATTTGGCACATAGAGAAGTAAACATTTAATTCAATAAACTGTGTGGCCTGTTTTTATGACTCCAACCCTTGAGAAAACATTAGATGACATAATATGATATTTAATTAATTTCAAAATGGCCTTGGTTTTTCTTTTCTAAGCAAAAATATTTTTAATAACCTGAAAGAGGAACTTATAAACATTCTCTGCAGCCCACTTAATTATTTGTATTTCATGTCTTTTGAACTCAGTTGGAACTAGAACAATTTTAATCTTCATGCTAACTGGATTATAAACCTTGCTCTCTATTTTATTAAGCACACATTTTATTCTTGTACCTATTGGTCTTCATTCCAATAGTCTGGAGTCTGATTATTTGCCTGCAATGGACACCATCAGCCTGAACAATATTTATAATTATCTCTCTCTCCCCAGAGGACTTTTGTGGCTGCTCCTCTGTGTGTATTTTTAGATTAGTTTTACCTCCTATACCTGCCACTTTTTTCTTACTGCTGTTTAAATTTGTTGTTAATTGTTTAATTTTTGTTCTGTTAAAACTGTTGTAAGCTGCCCTGAGCAGAGCAAATGAAAAGCAGGCCATATTACATAAATGCTAAAAGCATTTTGATGCAAATGACACCATTTTACATGAAAACAACAACAAAAAAGGTTAAAACCTCCATCAGCATTCTGTCACTTATTTTGACGTTCAAGCCTGACAAGATATTAGGCATTCCACATGTTGTTAATACTCATTTGTATTTTTCATGCATATGGATCTATGCAATACGGTGGTACCTCGGGTTAAATACTTAATTTGTTATGGAGGTCCGTACTTAACCTGAAACTGTTCTTAACCTGAAGCACCACTTTAGCTAATGGGACCTCCTGTTGCCACCGCGCTGCCAGAGCCCGATTTCTGTTCTTATCCTGAAGCAAAGTTCTTAACGTGAAGCACTATTTCTGGCTTAGTGGAGTGTGTATGTAACCTGAAGCGTATGTAACCCGAGGTATCACTGTATTCATAATTGCAACAGAAGTAGTTTTATGTCTTGATAGGAAACTGTCCTGATTTTTCCTTCCTGACAGACAACCAAGGGAAAACTTTTTTCCTAAATAATTGGAATCTGATTGTGGAAAGCAGCTGAGGTTTGCTTGGGGGGTTTTGGGGTACTGGTTGTTGCACAGACATTTTTATTTATTTATTTCTCTTCTTGTATACCAGTTTTAATAATAATAATAATAATAATAATAATAATAATAATAATAATTGTTATCTACTGAAGTTCTCACCCTGGGCCAGCAGGGGGATACTGTAGATAGTTATGCAAATGAAGGATCAATAGTGACGTTCAGTGACTGGATAGTTTGTATGCAAATGAAGGATCAAAAGTGACGTTCAGTGATTGGCTAGTTACAGAAAATGGTTACTGTTGCATTCTAGTGGAGCTCTATATAAGCAGGCTGACTGAGCTCCTCAGTTCAGTTCTGTTCCAGCTTACAAATAAAGAGCTGCTTTGGAAGAATTGCTGTGTCGTCTGATATGTTCGCCCACAACTTAACAATAATAATATAAAAAATGACATCCAGCCTGATTAAGAGTTCAGAAGCCTCTTCAGTATTTTGTGGCCTTTTGGTTGGCCCAAAAAAGATAGTGCCTTACTCTGGATTTTGGAAAAGTAAAAAACTGGATTACTTTTATCCAGACTGTTTGCAATGACAGACCTTGGGGTCTCAAATTTGGTGCCTCCTGCCTCTCGTGCTCCATTCTAAATAATAGTTGTGAAGTCCCCTGCGTTGTTCCCAAGGCTCTGCATCCAGTGCAACTAAACCAGTCGCATGTCCCTAAATGTGCCTCTGCTTTTTGGCTCTTTGTCCCTGGGTATGCACCTAGGAAACCTTCATATTGCTGTTGTATTTTCTTAGTGAGTATGTATGTATGTATAGATAGATAGACAGATAGATAGATAGATACGGTTTTGTGGACAAGCCACTTCCTCTTTCTTGTGAAATTACATGATGTCCAAGTTTAAGGCCCAGTTTAAGAATTAGATAATCTTATATAGTCCATTTTTACCAATGCTGTGTCTACATGTTCACAGCATGTGTAATAGGAATTATTTCAATAAATGGCTCTGGGCAGCTCTACATTTCTCTAGGGAAAGATTACACATTTTTGCTTCCCTGCCACTGGTTCAATTAGCCCAGCAGAAAATTAAATTTACTTGCCCCCTGGAAATTTTTTGTATTGATATTTTTAAAAGGCATCTTTCTTCAGTGAAGAGATACTGAAACATGTATCCTAATCTCTACAAAATCAATGAGCAAACTATGTGCTTAGACTGCTAAATGTCAATATTTACTAAAATATTCTAGAAGAGAAGATATAGCGGAGTTTCAATTTATGTTAATCATGTTTACTTTTTTATTGTTAAATACCTTGTTCAGTTGCTGATCAGAAAGGAACTAACAAATTATTATATTTGAGAAGCCTCTTTTCATAGTTGCTTCTCCTACTTCCTCCTCTCTCTTTCCCACAAAGTTATAATGGCGCTCAGGCTACAGTAATGGACAGTAGGTTTCCTGGCCAGGTCTCTTGGGCCATCTCATTCCTGTGTTGTATAATATGGGTGGGCAGAATGAAGGTTGGGATCTACTAGAAGTTGTGTGAGTGCTTTGCAGAGTAGATCGGCAAGGGTTTCTGACTGCTAATTGTTTAACAACAGATATAGCAAAATGGCTTTGTTTTGTTACCTATATTATGCTGCTGAAATGAAGGCCAAGAGCCGTTTTTGTATCTGTTAAAGGATGGTGAGCATAGCTCAGTTCTAACACTGAAAACAAATTCTGGGGCTCAGAAAGTGTGCTCTTTGTTTCTAACTGTATGTCTTGTTTTGCACCTGGTTATCTGGTTGGCAGATCTTGAGGGTTCTAGTAAAAGAAAACAGAGCAGATCTGACAAGCTTTAAAGCCTGCTCCCCCCCATTTTAAATCATAGAAGAATGTAGAATGGGGGAGAGAAATGTTACTCGTATGCTTCAAAAGTGAAATAATGCACATTGTCTAAAATTACCTCGTGCAGACCCTCCAAGTGTCTGTATTTTCCAGGGACAGTCCCATATTTACTGAAGTCATCCCAGTTTCTGATTTGATCCTGGAATATCCCGCTTTTCCTTTGGACACCCCTATTTTCATTAGAGAATGTTGGAGGATATGGTAGTGGCATGGAATGTATGGAAAAATTCTCTTGAGAATCTCTTGCTTCCCCGCCTCTTCATGCTTTACATGAAAATACAGTATAAACCTCAACATATGCTATTAAGCTTTAACCTGTGTTTGAAAATAAAGTCATATCTTGATAGAGACTAACAGTTGTTCACGTGCTAAACAGCAACACTGCACAGAGGACAATATTTCTGCAGATTTTTTTAAAAATAAAGAACATACCACTACATTTTATGGTCAGTGTTCATAGTAACTGAAGCAAACATGGGCTTTGTACAAGATAGAACAGTGAGAAATTATATTAGAAAATATAGTTTCTGGGGCCTTCCTTTTATTTTGATGTGGTTTTGTGGTATTCTAAGTAGAGCATTCTGTAAAACATTATGGTCAGTGATGGTGAGTACTAAAATACAATAAAGACTGAACAGGGTATGATGTTAGTTTCCTCGCAATAGTGTTGTATATGTGCATTCAGTTTGATGCAAAAAGCGCTGTTGGTTCCATAGCCTCTATTCTTTTTGTCTTAGTGATCTCCAACTTTGCACAGATAAGGAGGACCACAGTTGGTGAGCAATCATTCTCCAATTGCTTTCCCCATAATAAATATAGCCACCAAAAGCAATGTTAGAGCAAGGCACACATACACACAGATTACAGTAATGTTGCACTGATGAAAATTTAATGCCAAAGAGGTTGCTGCCTTTCTCCCGTCCAATGGCTCCCTTATTTAAATGGTGTGGGTGAAAGCATAGACACAGTGAAGGGAACAAAAATGTAAGTAGAATAGCTGCTTCCCCACGACCAATTTGATGTGGCCTGCTGCAGACCCATTCTTAGTCTCCAGGCCACCCCTTCTGAGAATTGCTTCCTATTTTGTGTCATTTGTGCATGAAAGAGGGAGATGGGGCAGTGAGTGAGATGGGTGACTTGGCTGCTACACTGTGAGTGGGAAGCCTTGCAGTGATCCATAGGACAGGGAAAGAGAAGAGAAGGCAGAAGAAGAGATAAGACAGATCAAATAGAAAAACCAATAATGGCCTAAACTGTGGGTGACTAACCTTTTTTGATCCATAGTCAACACTTTGAAGGCAACATGCAAAAGTGGGGATGGCAAAAAAAGGTATGAATTTAGTGGAGTCTTGGAGGAAATACATCTTTTTATCTGGCTTCATGACATCACAGAAGGGGACCCATGGAGCAGTCAATTTTCATAAAATGACAGATTTGGTCGGGGTCTCAGGGGCCTTGACCTAAACTATCATTGTTAGACACCTCTCCGACCCCAATAATCAGTGCTATAAAACCTAATGATATCAATGATCTTTTGAAGGATGCACATTTTATTCCAAGTACTGAATATAGAGATCCAGACATGGGAACTGTATGCATAGCACCTTTGGAGGTTCCCATTTCTTTTGTGCATTGCTTTTCTTAGATCTGGGCCTTAATGAATTGCCTGACAATGGCTCATCTTCATCATATATCTGAAGCTCTATGATGGCACTTTAACAGTTCCTGGAGAGAATCCTGGGCACTGTAGTCGGTTAGGGGTGATGGAATCTGTACCGTTGTGAGGTCAGCACCATTCGCAAACTACAATTCCCAGGATTCTCTTCATGACTTTTAAAGTAGTACAATCCTGCTTTAAATGTATGTTGGGGATGTGACCTTAATGTCTCATTTCATGGAATATTTGAATGCAATACTAACACACACACACCGGCCGATGCTGATGGCTAGGGGTGGGGGATAGTTTAGTGGGGCACATAGGTCTCTGTCTGTCTGCCTCCACCAGTAGAGAACAGCACTCTTGATATGCCATGAAGGAGGGTCCAGTTTTCCTAGCATGTGGAAAGCCATGAAATAGGATGGGGGGGCAGAAGCCCTCGGTATCCTTCACTGGACCCAGTTCTTAGGCTCATCAGTTACAACAGCAAACCTGTAAACAGTGATACGAATCCGGATTCCTTGGGATGTGGCAATAGATCTGCACTCATCTGAGCCCCCAAGGTTGGATTGCTCTACCTTAATAGCTTATGTATGAATGCTGGCCTGCATTATATTTGATACTTATTTACCATGTTCTTACAGCACAGGGTCAGCCTCCTCTGTAACTGCTTCTCTATATCTATCTTTAATATGTACTATAAGCGAACTTGCTAATGATGGCTGAATGTCATTCTCTTACAGCTCCTAGCTGTTCGAATACATTCCAGACACAGAGCTAAAACCATAGTCACCACTACGTACACCCAGCTAGAAATATTTTCTTAGAACAAACCTCACCTTCGTCATAAAAGCCAGACTGGATTTGCAGAATCCGAGGGAGAGAGCTTGGATCCAAGGAATGGATGAAATTCTTCAAGCTTGAGGCCATGGTCCGTGCAACAGCTAAAAAAAAAAAGTATTTAAACAGAAATACCTAGTAGGATGCTCTCTGTTACCTCTTGCACATAGAAAAAGAAAGGCGTGCAAAATCTGAAGCAAGCTTTCTGTGGAAAGAGAGAGGTTCTTGAGCTTTCTCAGAGTGAAGACCACTTCCTCTGAATTCACGTTGGGTTGGTGGAAGGCAGTCATAGGAAGCTAAGAGAAATGCACGGCAGCACCTGGCTATATACTAGCTTGTGCTTGTGCCATTTTGGGCTACAGGAAATACAAAATACAAGTGCGTTTATGTCAGTGATAAGGAAAGGGTGGCGCCAAAAGAATGTGCCAACTAGGATATGGTTTGGTACTTAATGCATCTGCAACGATGCACACACAACAATAATACCTTGTCTTAAACCTTTGATAGTTTGACACTGAACCTCTGGAACATTAAAAAGTACTGTTTTTTCTTCTTTTTAAGGAAGCCACAAACTGTCTTTGAACAGATGAAATGAAACTGTTTTGCTGCTGTTGTTTTGCAGAATTCATAAGGGAAGTGAGATAGTTTAAAGGGAAGGTGCCATCTATAACCTGCAGTGGCTAGTCAAAAGTAGCAGGAATGTTTGTGTGTGCACAATGGGCAGCTGATGAGCACGGAAAGGGTGCAGCTGATGAGGGGGTCTAGCTTGTGTATCCTTGTGACACCCCCTGTCATTTCAGCACATGAGGGAAGGTCGCTTTGACCTCTGGAATGTTGTTTTGTTGCCTGTGTAGACCAGGCCCATTTTGAAGGCTCTGAATTGTTTTGGTGAGAACAGGAGGCTTCCTGGTGCAGAAGTGACTGTTGGGGTCAGTTGGTAACGTTACAAGGTAGATCTGAATGTTGCAGCAGTGATCGTTGCTTGGAGAGGATGGGGGGGCAAGGATAAATGAGATGATTCTGAAGGAAGTGGGTCAAAAAAGGAAGTGAGATGGTTAGCTCAGATTCAATTATATTTGCCTGAAAATAGAGGAATAGTGCACTATCCCACTTGAAGCACTGGTAATGACTTTTTTTACATTTTAGTTCAAGGGGGCAAAACACACACACAGAGAGAGAGAGAGAGAGAGAGAGAGAGAGAGAGAGAATTTTCTTTTCTTCGATCTCATATTGGCAAGAACCAGATCCTGGGGGTCCCATATGGCTGGTCCATGAGGCAATTGTTTCTCATCTCAGACAATTATTATGGAAATGCAGCTCCCACATATTGCAGAAAGGGGGAATTGAGATGATCATTAGTTTGCAGCACCTTCCATATGAGGAAAGGCTAAAGGCCATGATCTCAATGCTTACGCTTTATTGACAGCCTGGGGAGCAGGTTGTGCATGTTGTTTTCTAGTCTGAGGGAATGAATGTGCAGCACCTTTGTGTATGTCTGAATTTTCCCTGATGTATCCGAGTGCTTGAATTTGATAAGCTTCCCTGTATTGGCTTAAAAGAAAACCAGCTTTTTATTTTCGTCAAAACACAAACCAGCATGAGTACTTTGAGTTTATAAGAGCCTGCTAGATCAGATTGATGGCCCACCTAGTTCAGCATCCTGTTCTCACAGTGGCTGACCAGATGCCTGTGGAAAGGTTGCAGGCCAGGTATGAGCACATCACTCTGCCCACCTGCCATTAGAAGTCTCAAAAGGACAGTATATCCGGAATAGTTCAACTGTTTCGGAATAAAGCCTTCATCAGTGAATAATTATCAGTGAAATAGTCATACTAGTGGGGATCATGCTAGTGGATCAGTGCTCCGAAACAGTTGAACTATTCCGGATATACCGTCCTTTTGAGACTTCTGAGAGGCGTCTTCCTTTGAGACTTTTGTGAGACGTCCTCCTTTGAGAGTCGGCTTGGCATTCCTCGCTATTGATTTGTTTGACTCTTTGTTTGACTCTGAGATATATAACAACTTGTAGTTACTTGTATATTTTGTGAGATGTGTTGTATGATATATACATCATTTTGAAGTGGCTTATTTGTATATTTTGAATGACATCATAACCAATTATATATACACGAACAGTTATTAGCCAGCGTGTTGCGTTTGCATTTTTGTAGATTGTTACATTTTGCAACACAGGGGTTTGTGTTTCTTCACCTGCAATTCCCAGCAGATGTGTGTAGGAAGCAGAGCTGGCTCACCCATGACGCAGGCTAAAGTGCCCGCCTCAGGCGACGGAAGTACAAGATGTGGCACTCTGGCCACACCTTCTGCTGCCAAGAGGGTGGTTGGTGTATTAGTGTATGGCATTGCTATTCGTCTTCCCTGCCCTTGGGTGGAAAAGCTGAGCAAGCAGCAATACTTTAAGGAGTACCCCGGCTCCTGCAGAGTTCAGTGAGAGCAAGTGTGGGGTGGTGGTGGTGGTGGAAGAAGGATGTGACACGGCAGGCCAGAAGATGACAATTCCCATTTCACTTCAGGTGGCAGGACCAGGCCACCCCTGAAAGCTCTAATGGATTCAGTCCTGATTTGGGGGCATACACCAAGATTTATTTTCACCAGAGAAATATATTTTGAATGTATGGCTTATGTGGGCAGTGCAGTTTGTTGATTTCTTGCCTTTGGCTAACTGTCCTAAATCACAGGTGCCTGTTGATCATCTTAAGTGATCCACTTGTGGTTGAATAGCAGCCCACATGATGCATCTGCACTAGGCTGGGATGAAGCTCGTATGAAACTCATTACTTAGTAGAAATGCAGGCAGGTTTGTTTTTTTAAGACCAGAGCAGAAACATAACTGGTCAGAAAATATATGCAGTCGTACCTTGGATCCTGAACGCCTTGGTGCTTGGACATTTTGGCTCCCGAACGCTGCAAAGTGAGTGTTCCAGTTTGCAAACGTTCTTTGGAACCTGAACATCCAACGGGGCTTGCACAGCTTCCGATTGAATCATAGAATCATAGAGTTGGAAGAGACCACAAGGGCCATCGAGTCCAACCCCCTGCCAAGCAGGAAACACCATCAGAGCACTCCTGACATATGGTTGTCAAGCCTCTGCTTAAAGACCTCCAAAGAAGGAGACTCCACCACACTCCTTGGCAGCAAATTCCACTGTCAAACAGCTCTTACTGTCAGGAAGTTCTTCCTAATGTTTAGGTGGAATCTTCTTTCTTGTAGTTTGGATCCATTGCTCCGTGTCCGCTTCTCTGGAGCAGCAGAAAACAACCTTTCTCCCTCCTCTATGTGACATCCTTTTATATATTTGAACATGGCTATCATATCACCCCTTAACCTCCTCTTCTCCAGGCTAAACATGCCCAGCTCCCTTAGCCGTTCCTCATAAGGCATCGTTTCCAGGCCTTTGACCATTTTGGTTGCCCTCCTCTGGACACGTTCCAGTTTGTCAGTGTCCTTCCTGAACTGTGGTGCCCAGAACTGGACACAGTACTCCAGGTGAGGTCTGACCAGAGCAGAATACAGTGGCACTATTACTTCCCTTGATCTAGATGCTATACTCCTATTGATGCAGCCCAGAATTGCATTGGCTTTTTAGCTGCCGCGTCACACTGTTGGCTCATGTCAAGTTTGTGGTCAACCAAGACTCCTAGATCCTTTTCACATGTACTGCTCTCAAGCCAGGTGTCACCCATCTTGTATTTGTGCCTCTCATTTTTTTGCCCAAGTGCAATACTTTACATTTCTCCCTGCTAAAATTCATCTTGTTTGTTTTGGCCCAGTTCTCTAATCTGTCAAGGTCGTTTTGAAGTGTGATCCTGTCCTCTGGGGTGTTAGCCACCCCTCCCAGTTTGGTGTCATCTGCAAATTTGATCAGGATGCCCTTGAGTCCATCATCCAAGTCATTGATAAAGATGTTGAATAAGACCAGGCCCAAGACAGAACCCTGTGGGACCCCACTAGTCACTCTTCTCCAGGATGAAGAGGAACCATTGATGAGCACCCTTTGGGTTCGGTCAGTCAGCCAGTTACAAATCCACTGAGTGGTAGCATAGTCAAGACCGCATTTTACCAGCTTCTTTACAAGAATATCATGGGGCACCTTGTCAAATGCCTTGCTGAAATCAAGGTAGGCTACATCCGCTGCATTCCCTTCATCTACCAGGCTTGTAATTCTGTCAAAAAACGAGATCAGGTTAGTCTGACATGACTTATTTTTCAGAAATTCATGCTGACTGTTGGTGATCACAGCATTCCTTTCTAGGTGCTCACAGACTGTTTGCTTAATGATCTGCTCCAGAATCTTCCCTGGTATTGATGTCAGACTGACTGGGCAGTAATTATTTGCGTCCTCTCTTTTCCCCTTTTTGAAAATAGGGACAACATTTGCCCTCCTCCAGTCTGCCGGGACTTCGCCTGTTCTCCAGGAATTCTCAAAGATGACTGCCAGTGGTTCTGAGATCACATCTGCCAGTTCTTTTAATACTCTTGGATGCAGTTCATCTGGCCCTGCAGACTTGAATACATCTAAACTAGCCAAGTATTCTTGTACTATCTCCTTAGTTATTCTGGGCTGTGTTTCCTTTGCTGAATCATTTGCTTCAAATTCTTCAGGTCGGGCATTGTTTTCTTTATCGGAGAAGACTGAGGCAAAGAAGGCATTGAGGAGTTCAGCCCTTTCTGTGTCCCCTGTTTGCATTTCACCATCTTCTCCTCTGAGTGACCCCACTGTTTCTTTGTTCTTCCTTTTGCTACGAACATACCCATAAAAGCCTTTTTTGTTGCTTTTAACCTCTCTAGCAAGCCTGAGTTCATTCTGTGCTTTAGCTTTTCTGACTTTGTGTCTACACGTGCTGGCTATTTGTTTGAATTCCTCTTTGGTGGTTTCCCCCTTTTCCATTTTTGTACACATCCTTTTTAATCTTAACTCAGTTAAAAGTTCTTTAGATAGCCACCCTGGCTTCTTTAGGCACCTTCCATGTTTCCGTCTCATTGGTATTGCCTGACGTTGTGCTTTTAGTATCTCCCTCTTAACAAACTCCCAGCCATCATGAACTCCCTTTCCTTTTAGTATTACTGTCCATGGGATCTCACCCAGCACTTCCCTAAGTTTTATGAAGTCGGCTTTCTTAAAGTCAAGAAATTGAGTCCTAGTATGCTTGGCTGCTCCTTTCCGCTGTATAGTAAACTTCAGAAGAGCATGATCACTCGCGCCTAATGATCCTTCCACTTCTACCCCACTAACCAGGTCATCAACATTGCTTAGGACCAGATCTAAAATGGCTGTTCTTCTTGTTGCTTCTCCCACTTTCTGGACAATGAAGTTGTCTGCAAGGCCAGTGAGGAATCTGTTTGACCTTATGCTCTTGGCTGAGTTTGACATCCAACAAATATCCGGGTAAACTGAAGTCCCCCATTACTATCTCCCTTCCTTTTGCATGCTTGGCCATCTGTTCCAGGAAGGCATCATCTATGTCCTCCGTTTGGCTTGGGGATCTATAGTAAACTCCCACAGTGAGGTCACTGTTATTCTTCTCTCCCTTAATTTTGACCCAAATGCTCTCACTTTGGCTTTGAGGTTCTAAATCTTGGATCTCTTCACAGGTATACACATCCCTGACATATAACGCCACTCCTCCTCCTTTCTTGTCTGGTCTGTTTCTCTGAAATAGATTGTATCCCCCCATTATTACATTCCAATCATGGGACTTATCCCACCAGGTTTCAGTGATGCCTATTATGTCATATTTAGTTTGCTGTACCAAGAGCTCAAGCTCATCTTGTTTATTTCCCATGCTTTGCGCATTAGTGTACAGACATTGAAGTCCATTAATCATTCCCCGTGTCTCTTATTTAAGGATTTTTCCTCCCACCACTAGGTCTGCGTGCTGTTTGCTCCATTTGGTCTATGACATATGGATGATCATCTTCATCAATTGATAGACTCCTACCTTCAGGAGCACTGTCTCCCTCCCCCACATTAGTCAGTTTAAAGCCCTCCTGATGAGGTTTCTGAGATTTTTGGCAAAAACATTTCTCCCAACCGTTGTGAGGTGCAGCCCATTGCTTGCCAGAAGTCCATCTTCAAGAAACTGCAGTCTGTGATCTAAGAATCCAAACCGTTCCTGTTTACACCATTTGCGAAGCCAGCTGTTCACTTCCACTATTTTCCTCCCTGGGCCACGTCGTTCAACTGGGAGGACAGATGAGATGACAATTTGTGCATTTAATTGCTTCAATTTCCTGCCCAGAGCCTCGTAGTCTCTTTTGATCTTCTGGAGGCTATTGCTTGCAGTGTCATTGGTTCCCACATGAACCAAGAGGAAGGGGTATTTGTCAGTGGGTTTTATGATTCCTTGCAGTCGTTCAGTTACATCTTGGATCTTAGCCCCAGGGAGACAGCACACTTCCCGAGACATCTTGCCAGGCCCACAGATCACTGCTTCTGTTCCCCTCAGTAGGGAATCCCCTATCACCACTACACGCCTACTCTTAGGTTTGGTCGGGGTTCTTCCGTGAGCTGTCCGTTCCAAGGTCGCCTGCAGATTCCCTGAGGACTGACTTTGCTGCTCGTCTTCATATACCTGATCGACTGTAATGAGGGAGAGATCCTCAAATGGAGTCTGCTCTTCGTCTTCCATGCTAGGGGAGAGGACCTCAAAGCGATTGTGTATTTCTAAACAATCAGAGCGAACCCTGGGCCTCCTACTTCTTTGAGTCACGTTTCTCCATATATCTGGCTCCTGTGCTGGTGAACTAGCCTCCTTCTCAGGGGGAGTCCCCTGTCTCCTCCTTGGTGGAGATGGTGTGCTCTGTTGCTTCCAAGAAGAGCTCCAGCTCTCTAATTCTTTGGAGCGTAGCTACACGTTCCTCCAGTTGCTGGACTTTGTCTTTTAAGAGGGCAATCAACATGCAATTGCTGCAGGTAAAGCTGCCTGCAACCTTTGGCAAGATGGCAAACATTGCTCAGGAACCGCAGGCGACTGCAGCTGTTCCCTCCTTCTCCATCTTGAGAACGTGTCGTTGGGGGTGGCTACAGCGGTCCTCCATCATAAAAAGCATGAAGACAGGACAAATAACTCCCCCCACAAAAAACCTAGGTCTCCCCCAACAAACGTTTGAGACTAGCTCCCCTAAATCTAAAAGATGGATCAAAGTGCGCGCGCCGCTGCCCTGCGAGCTCTGATAAGCTCCTCCCACAGTTAATCACCTGCCTCAACAGAAACCCTGCCCCCTCTGACCTTTGCATAGGGAGAGCAGCTAATCAGCCACAAAGAAACACACACACACAAGAAAACCCTTTTTGCTCCTTCTTCAACTGCTGCCCTGCAAGCTCTTGCAAGATTGCCCTGCAAGACTGGCTGCAGGAGCTTCACACAGTCAATCAGAAGCTGCACTTTGGTTTCCGAACGTTTTGGAAGTGGAATGGACTTCCAGAACGGACTCTGTTCATCTTCCAAGGTACAACTGTATCTAGAATCTGTCTCAGAAAAAAATATTTCTGACATGGAGGTATTGGTCTGTGTGGCACTCTTGCAAGGGTAACCATGGGCACCTGGGTTTCAAGACTTTTCCAGAATGAAAAATATAGATATGCAAAGGAAGAACATCTTGTAGATAATCTGCATTTTCTTTTATGCTGTCATAGCTGACAATGAGTCCCTCAACACAGTCTTTTGAACCAAACTACATTTAAACCATTCCCAGGGCACCAAATACCTTATTCAAGGGCACCATGGTACACACAGGTGCCAGGTTGGCAATCCCTGGTTTATAGCAACTGAAACACTATTATATCAACTTGCAGGTTATTTTGTTAGTATTCCCAGATTCTTAGAAGCTAATATGAAAGTAGTTGGAAATCGTTGGCCGCTGATGCTGCTCAGGTCCATTGTTGCTTAGGTTTCAAAGGTTTGCTTTGTGCTGCTGTTGCTTAGGTTTCAAAGGTTTGCTTTGAGGGGGAAATTATTCAAGATCCTCAGGTTACAAACCTCTTTAGTTTTCAAGATGGGAAGAGAGATATTTCACCTGAGTTTTTAAACTACTCTAAGGAAGCTATTTTCAATCCCTGTTGTGTACAAGGTTTGGCTGATGAGTCCATTGAAGCAGCGTGCATTGAAGCTGACAGTCTTATAACCTAGCATGTTATAGCATGTTCATGATTCCTAAGGGGTTTTTTTGGTTATGGTTTTCAAATATGCTGATTATTTTCCACAAACCAAAACATCTCCTCAAGCAATCCTAATGAATGGGTGAAAGTCTTTAGGGCAAAATAAATATCTTTTGTCATAGGCAGCACCAAATATTCAGGAGAAGGTGAAAGAATATATTACTTTGTAGAAATACTTCAGGTCCATTAAAGGTTTGCTTTGAGAAGAGAATTACTCAAGATCTTCAAATTACAACAAAAGTGTTTTGAAATGTGTTTGGCATATCTTCAGTGCATTTGTGACAGCTGGAGACACACACAGGAGACTGTTTTTGAATTAATTTTACAGATCAATCCTCCTGTGGTGCCTGGTGATGCACGCTGTAATTTATTTTTAAAGAGGCCACGGTGATTCTTGGGTGTCATGAAAGAAATCCCTGAAAAGTATTTATACACAATTCCTGCTAAAAGGAAAGGACAATGAATTCATTTAAATACATTTGTGCAAGATGGTTCTTCCCAGTGGAATCTGCACATTCACTTTCTCTAATTATTCTTGAAGTTTTGCCTATCAGCTTGCCTATCAACTCAGCACATGGGAAAGGAAAACAGCTTGACGTTTCCTGATAGCAGAGTGCTTTTACAATAGCATATGAGAAATCAGCTGTTATTTCCTTATCTTTCTCAATATCTAAGAGCTGATTCTGATGTGGTGTCTTTTATGTAGAAGAGCTGCTAGCCGCATGGATCACACTTAACATGTGGAGACATTCCTTTCTCGTTTATATAATGAGGCTTCTCTGAAGAGATTTGGGACCTCCTCTCTTTCCCCAACCCCCCATTGTTTAGGACGAACTGCTCCTAGAATTATATTCTCAAATGCTGCATTGCCATTTACATAGTTTGTTTGCCGCAGTAAAGGTAGCACCCCAGGTACCCAGAATCTTTCATGTAGCAGGATTTTGAAGGCTCAGCTGTACAGGCAGTCCTGCAAAAATGTTATCCTGTGAACTGAGTGTTCATAAGCATGCTGCTGGAGAGTTACTGCTCAAAAATAATGAATTAGGTTGCAATCCCAACCTGAAATGAACCCACCTGCAAATAAGTGGTCAAATTCCCAACATGAGCACACTTAGAGGAGTTCTAGCTTAGCCTCTTCCTGCATACTAGTTTTCCAGCATGGTAGGTGTTTCAATATAGGGGAGCATTAAATATATATATTCTACCTGGAGTGTGAAGTGGTGCAGTCCAGTTATACACCCTACAACTCTTACCACCTCATTCCTTATTTAATCTTCTGCATGTGGGAAGACCTGACTAACAGTGAATAAAATTGTTATTGGTGTATATATGATTAATATTAATAGAGAGAGGCTTTTTCTGCCTCACGCTAGTTCACAAAATAAAACATTTATTTTAATTCTGTATAGGTTGCAAACTTCAATTTTTCAAAAACCAGTATGAAAATGTGATGGCGAATAACGGGTAATACATAAATCAAGATTGCAGTTACTGAGTCTGCACAGTGTTCATGAATTATTATGGTTACTATCTGTAGCAAACTGTTCTGTACATCAGTCTTCAGTTTAAAAATTCCCATTCTCCTCATGCTTTTATTTTGATGGAAAAGCTGGTACACCCACAATATATATAAACATATTTACATTGAAACATTTAAAGTTGCTATTAAATTAGGTTTTGTTTTACTTTCAAATTGTATATCCTTAAGCAAAAAAGCAGTGAAATATCTTGACACATTTCCGTGGGATAATCCATTGTGTGTGTGTGTGTGTGTGTGTGTGTGTGTGATTTGTTGCCAATGAACATTAAGAAAACTAAGTCTTTGCAACATTTCTCTATATCCCAGAATTCATGACATATTTTTCAAGGTCAACAGAGAATGTATCTATACTGCAGACATGTCTGTTTCATACCAGCTTAACTATCATGGTTTCCCCTTAAAAATCCCGAAAATTTGGACAAGGTGGTGACAGTTCTTAAGTGTTCTAGCTCATTTGAAGAACTATATACTTTAACATTTTACACGACTGTCTTCAGGTTTGACAGGACCATTGATGTGCCCTCTCTGGTCGCTTTCCTATACTGGTCTACTCCCTGGCTGCAGGCTTATCTAGTGGCAGTATCCATGACTTACCACAATGGTGTTTCATAGCTGTCTGCCACTTGGGGTGGGGGTAGGCTTTCAATCTGTGTTGGTGAATTCTGTTGGGACCCCAGCAGCTGGCTAAAGGATCCAGGTGTTAATGATGGGCCTGAAATTTTAATACCATGTTTCCTTTCTGTTCACAATATAATGTTATGGGATTGAATTTGGACTAAATGACTCTTGGGGACTCCTCCAAGCCTGTTATTCCATAGCTGTAAAATGGGATCTGGAGAGTAGAAGGACTACAGATACTGTCAGTCCAATTTCTTTTGTCAAGCAAACAGACCTAGGTATTCTGTTAAGTAAACTATTTGTTACATAAGGTAGGGGCAATATGTTGCCATAGAAATTAAATCTGAAGGAGCTGGCCTAATGCAGACAGTTCAGCAAAATAAGAACAGCAATAAAAAAGCTGTCCTCATTGCTTTTGCCACCCTGACCTCAGAAGGTCAAAGATGTCAAATATAAGACCTTGAGGCCCTTACCAGAACTTTTTGAGTGGTATAAACAGTCAACAGATATTAGATCAACTTCAGGGCTAGTAAATTGTGTGTCCAGACCCAGAAACATCCCCCCTAAATAAATTCACACTTGACTCAAAATTTTGGTTTTGGTTCTTGGCAGAATTTAGGCCACAACTTTATTGATTACAGAAAGTGACTGGTTGCATAGGCTCTGGATCAACTAGCTCACTGCCATGCAGGTAGCGCTGACCCAGGGTTCCAGCATAGGTCAGCCAAGGGTGAACACCCAGATAAGCGGAAAGCCAGGAACGGGCTAACTCCGCCACCCAAATGTCCCCCTGGACTCAGGGATGGACACAACCTCCTCTCAGGGGTCGACCAAACCATCGAGTCCCTGGATTCCTTTAATGGAAAACCCTTCACATAGGGATGGCGAGAACGTTCTCCCATCTGTAGCACTTGAACCAGAGCCTATCTGCAACCTTACAAGTTGTGACGATTTGCTACGTGGCAGGCGAAACCCAAATGGCAACAGCCAATCAGCCAAGTGGGGAAAATCCTGCCGTGCCCCTGTCACAATGACAGACGACACACGACGGTGTAGTAATGTCAAGCGCAAAGCCCTAAAAGTAGGGAGAGGTCTGCGGGTGTTCTGAATGCATGCGCCGAAAGAGGAAGCTCTGGGTCACGTGCATGGGCATAAATAGGTCCCTCGAACCGTTTGAACTGTGTCCCATTGGCCAGATTGCACCCAGCTTCGAGGGACCTACCAATCAGGTGTTGTGGCTGACTGATCGTACCCACCCAAAACAGAGGGTGTTGGTTTTCCAGGTCTCACTGCAATACATGCCCTCTTTAAGGGAGGACCCGATCTATGGGTTGCATTCATCTAACATATCCTTTCAGCGCAAGCCCTGCACAACTGCTTCTGCTTGTGCAAGATGGCTTCCTTCCCACTCCTCCCCAGTGCCCTCTCAGTGCTCTCTCCCCCCCCCCCCAATTGCAAAGGAAGGCTGGTGGGGTGTTGCTCCATCTAGCAAGCTGCCTGTTATATTGGGAAAAGTGTGTGCTCATCTAGTTCAGTATTTTGATATGTGTAGCTCTTCCTCAAAATTTTCAGCAGGCCTTAGATTTTCTAAACACATGGTTGGATCCAGAGGAAGCTAGTTGTGACCAACTTTTCACCATGATTTCAGTGGGACATAAGTGTTACTAATTTGTTGGGGATCTAACCCCCAGATCTGTACCTAAATGTGTGAGATCAGTTCTCTAGAATTCATAAGAATGAGCCCTGTAATTTTAGTAGACAAAACCGTTTGTGGTTTAAGTATTATCGTAATGCCAAAGACACTGCCATGAATTTCAAAAAATAAATTTGAATTCTATTATTATTTCTCTGTGTAAATGATTAAGAGCAGAACAAATAACCAGGGCTTTATACTGAGGAGAAAGAACTTTGCTGCCTTGCACCTGGCATGAAAATATGCCAGTATTATCACATTCTGGAGGGGTTCCAGGCTCGCCAGATGCTGTTTTGTGCATGCCACCAAAATTTGCATTCTATCCCAAAGCTTGAAGATAGATTGCTTCTTTCAGATAGTTATTTTCTGCAGAGTAATTTTAAACAGTCCTCCTTTTTTGTGTGCTCACTTAAAAGGTAAAAACAGTCTGGTGGCATAGATGGTGGGAAATAAAACTTTGTCACGTTCTGTGTTGTATATATATATTTTTCCCCTTTGCAAATTGAAGCGAAAGGAGTTTTTAAAAGGTTTCCGTGGCTGGTGTTAAAGCACTTGATCTTAATCTTTAAGGGGCAAGAGAAAATCAATAAGCATTACAGTTATTATAGTAAGCATTTAGCAATTAATAAATCCCTCTTTAGGTACAATAACAAACGATTGGGCAAATTAAGCCCAGTTTACTAAGCCAAATGGCTTGTTTCTTTTCGTCAGACAAAAGTAATAAACATGCAGTGCAATCCTAAATGTATTTACTTAGAAGAAACCCTAATTGGGATCAGTGGGACTTGCTCTCAGGTAAGAGTAGGATTGTAGCCCAAACAGTTTAAATAGTTTCTGTTTTAGATAGAACTGCTGCCAAAATATGCCCAAAGTGAATTTGAAGACTTGCTAGGGCACAAAATCTAAGGAACAGAGAGAAGGGAAAAAAATCCCCAAATTTGGCGATTCTTGCCTGGACATGATCCCAGAAATTATGGTTTCTCTTTCCCATCTTCATTTGCACATCCTTGGAAACCCTAGTGCATGGGTAGGCAAACAAAGGCCTGGGGACCGGATCCGGCCCAATCGCCTTCTAAATCCGGCCCACGGATAGTCTGGGAATCAGCGTATTTTTACATGAGTAGAATGTGTCCTTTTATTTTAAATGCATCTCTGGGTTACTTGTGGGGCATAGGAATTCATTCATTCCCCCCCAAAAATATAGTCCAGCCCCCCACAAGGTCTGAGGAACAGTGGACCAGCCCCCTGCTGAAAAAGTTTGCTGACCCCTGCGCCTAGTGTCACCAGGGAAACACATTGTGATTGAATGTGTGGAATGCAGCTCAGTTCAGTACACACTTACTTAGGAGTGAACTTCATTGAATACAATGAGACTTACATGTGTACAGAACAGGGCTACATACAGGATTAGTATTATTAGAGAGTTGTGCTGGTCTGGCTTTTAACCTTGAAGATATTCCAATATATACAAGTTATTAGTACTATACCAGTTAAATTTGGAAATTTCCTTGATAGCTAAAGAGTCAACCTGCTTGACATTCCTTTCTTGGATTTGCAATTGTTTCCAAGTCGGGACTGAATACAAGGCAAGTCCATGTATGTTTACTCATCATTTGAATAGGTAAATTAGCTTTTGGAAAAGTTCAGGACTTAACACCTCTTTTAAATTTTTCATTGTAACTTCCTTTCTACTAAACAATGAAGACCTTTTCAGGCAGAAAAGGTTGGGTTGGCTAAATCTCAACTGTTAATGGGGAGAGAAATAGTACAACATATAGGTTTTCCCCCACAAGATTAACTTCCACAACAGATTTCTCTCTGTTCCAAGGGAAAGCACAAATTGAATTACTTTCTCATTCGATGTAGAATGGGGCCAATGTTCAAGCAACTTTCACAATTACGTTGGGATTACATGGCAGTTTCGGGAAAGGGCAATGGAAGAAGCTGTAAACTAAGAGTCTTTGTATTCCTTGTTGGTCAGTGGTGAACTGTCCCTTTTAAGTGCGCCACTAACAAATGTTTCCCTCAGGTGCCCCTGTTCTTGCTTGTTAGCATTTGAATTGACTTAGGAGAGCTGAAAGGTTTAGCGAGAGTCTTTACCTATTATTGAATATCACATAAAGTTGTTCTCTTTTTTAGCTTTCCATTTTTACTGTCTGTAATAAAACTACATGGATTCTTGAGTACAATTTACTCCCAACTTTCACTGAAAGCCCTTTTGTTTTTTAGTGCACTGCTGTAGGGCAAATGAGGACATATGATTATCTTAACGGTCCCTAAATCTGAGGACATGCTGCTGCTATGCTTTTCCTAGCATAACGCTGAGTGTAGAGTGAACCTTTGGCCCTGCATTATACAAAAACTGAACAAATTCTAGTTCCTAGATTTGCTTTGAGAGGATTAGGAGATCAAACTTTTTTAGCTTCCAAATTTTAGAGGAGAGGGTTATTTTGGCTTAATATTCTCCCACAGACTGATGATCTCTTTTCACAACTCTACATGGGGCACATCAAGTGTCTGCCCAGCTGCTGCATTAAACTGCAAGGGTCAGGAAAGAGAGCAAGAGAGCATGCACAAAAGTGTGTGACCTTGTTGATTCTTCTTGATCTTTTTGGTCTTACTTGGATGGTAGATTCCAGAAGGTGGTGCTTGTGGAATATTGTTTTGCCTTGTTGGGGGACTCCAGCACTGAGGTGGCAGAGTGTGATCTCTCCTATACTTTCCAACATGTGCATGAAACTGCTGAGTATGGTCATCTGGAGCGTGTTTCACCAGCATGCTCCTATTAATCTCAAGCTGGTGTGATAGTGGAAGTAATGAAGCAGTATCTGACAGTGGAGATGGACTGACTGGATAAAAGCTAAGACATCGAATCTCAGTTCAGATAAGACTAAGATGCTGTTATGAGCAGATGGTTTCCTAGTCTGGATAGATAGTGTCAACCAGGTCTAGATGGGGTCACACCCTAGGGAACTTTTGGTCTGTGGACCAGTCTTTGCCCATGAGGTCCTTCCACCAATCCATGTCACTGGTGACGTCAACTGATGGGTATTAATCCTACATTGGCTGTGGGCTCTGTTCCAAGGAAGGAACAGTATTGTGCAGCCAAGGCAGCAAGATTTAATCTCTGTTCATCAGTTTCCCAAAAGCACTGTTTGGAGCACTTTTCCTGTGAATGGGTGGGTGGCAGAAGTGTGCAAGATTCTGCCATGCTTTAATTAAGATCAGAGCAAAGGGGACTTAATAGGAAGGAGGAAGAAGCATGCAAATGCCATTGCAAGTCTCACTCCATCCCTTTTAAGCCACCAATGTTGCTCCAGTCTTAAAGGGAGGGGGGAGACTCACTAAGGCAGGGGTAGGCAACCTAAGGCCCGGGGGCCAGATGCAGCCCAATCGCCTTCTCAATCCGGCCTGCAGACAGTCCAGGAATCAGCATGTTTTTACATGAGTAGAATGTGTCCATTCATTTAAAATGCATCTCTGGGTTATTTGTGGGGCCTAGGAATTTGTTCATTTTTCTTTTCTTTTCAAAATATAGTCCAGCCCATCACATGGTCTGAGGGACGGTGGACTGGCCCCCAGCTGAAAAAGGTTGCTGACCCCTGCACTAAGGCATTGCAAGCCTCCCTCCAATTCCCTTTCATGTCCTGCCCACCTGTCAGATTTGGCCTGTAGATCCTGATAAGGATCTGGCCTGTGGAACCCCGGCCTTAAAGCATCAGGTTCCTAGCATATGAGTACTCCTGATTCCATGTCACCGGAGGATTCTGTCACATGGTGTGTCTTCTATCAGGTTTGGCTGATTACTCAAGTTACAACTCTGTCTGGATGGAGATTACCATGTAATCTCTAGGTGACGCCTCCGTAAGTCATTTTAAATAAATAAAAAGGTTGATTAGAAAATAAGATCACCATAGCCTCCTAATGATTTGGGAGAACAATAGAATCATAGAACTGTAGATTTGGAAGGAGCACCTGATATTTTTCTGTTTAAATATGATGGCTCTTAAGCTTTTAATGGTGACACCAAAGCCAGTACGATTTTAATGCCTTTCAAGCATATAAGACAGCCAGCAGTGATGGCAGGTTTCTATATTCCTCCCTGCCAATGTAGCTCAACTGAAGCACAACCTCAATATTGCATAGAAAAGGGAGGCTAGTCCCCTGCGTGGCACTAGGAGACTGTTGTTGCCGATTTTCATGTATCAGATAATAGTGCAGTTCAGCCAAAGTAAGAGTGAGCAGAGCATTTTAGCCTCAGTTTTTTTTAAACCCCCCCCATCTATTTCTAAGCAAATCTCATAGGTATTTGGTAGAGACTACAACAAGCAAGTTTCTTTTGTCTGCCTTGCAGCAGTAGGGAACAGGGCTTTAGCTCACTGTTAGCAGCAGAATTAACATTCACTCAAGTTTTTGACTCCTTTATTTATTCTCCATTATACTATGAAAGAATTAAACCTTCTTTCAAGACTGGCAGGGACGAGAAACTTCTTTCAGCATTCATCATTATTCCTTTTAAAACAGGACTTGAATTTAAATTTATTTCTCTAAGAAAACATGCACTACTGTATATGAACGCACAGTAATGGCAGGAAGCATGTATATAAGTGCAAGCTACTTCTAAGCAGTAGCTCAGGCGCAGTAGAGCTACCCTGCTGTTCTCTAGAAGACAGAGCCCAAAAGTAGAAGGTTCCTCCTCTCCAAGAAGGAAAAAGTGTTTTCCAATTTGCCTTGACATCTTTCTCAAAAAGAAGGTAACTCTTTGCTGTCTGCTCCCCTCCTTCCATGAAACTTCCAAGAGGTGATAAATACTGCGTTGGAAATCAAAGAACTGTGGCTTGCTTTAATATCAAGTGCTAGTCATACTTTGAATACACCCACTGATATCAAGTTACTTAGGTCCATTGATTCTGGTAGGTCTACAGGCAATGGCTGTTTTGTGTGTGGGGGGTTACATTTCTGACCCTCATGTGCATCGGTAGAGCATGTGTAAGCCCGCCCCCTCCCCCTTTTCCGGCCACTTCTGGAGTGTGGCGATGCAAATGTGCAGTGGTGCTTCAGTTGGACGCGCCTAAAAATGAACCACTGCAATGTTTGGAACTACACAATGGGAAACTGGGCAATCACTCTTATACCCCAGCCCCCAATTTCAGTAAGGATCATAAAGTAAAAGTTGTGTGAAGGAATATAAAAAGTGGATATGTCAAAGGCAGTAACCAATGGACAGGCAAACTGGTAGGATCAACACTTGGACACGTATGGTAGGGACATTATGCCAGACTCTGTTGACATTTTTATCTGTTTGATAAATGAACTTCTGATAATGGCAGTAAAAAAAAAAAGTGATATAAACTGTATCCTTATAGATTTTGTAAAGTCGCACCTGACAGTGCTTATTATGATCAAGCACTGGCTATATACTAAGGAATATGATACTATGAAGTACATAATATTTTACTAAAAGATGAATTGCTGTATTTTCTAGACCATCTGGAACAACCAAAATTAATTAAAATTTATGTTTCTGTAAAGTAATTACATTTTCAGGAGGGTTGCCATTGTTTGTTACTTGCATACTACTGCGCTGTTGGCCTGTGCAGTTTTGCTTGTTGTATAAATGTGGAAACTTTTAGGATTGGATAATATTGAACCATCTCTCAAGATGTATGCTATTAAAATGGAGGTGGAAAGGGTGTGTGTATATACACACATGTATTTTTTTGCACCATAGTCCAGTTATTGAAGATTATGAACATTACTCTAAATAAAAAATTCCTTCCAGTAGCACCTTAGAGACCAACTAAGTTAGTTATTGGTATGAGCTTTCGTGTGCATGCACACCTCTTCTTCTTGTATCTTGTATTTTTTTTACAGTGGTACCCCGCAAGACGAACGCCTCGCAAGACGGAAAACCCGCTAGACGAAAGGGTTTTCCGTTTTGAGAGCGCTCATAAAGCAATTTCCCTATGGGCTTGCTCGCAAGACGACAGCCCATAGGAAATCTCAGGGACAGCGGGGAAGCGCAGCGCGTCTTCCCCACTGTCCTCGGACCTCCTCCGAAGCCTGGCGGCGGGGCGGGGACACCTCCTCCCGCCGCCGCCGGGCTCGGAAGGCTCCTCCGAGCCGGGCGGGGGAGGGAACACCTGCCGCCGCCGCCCGGCTCGGAGCGGTGCTCCGAGCCGGGCGGGGGGAGGGAACACCTGCCGCCGCCGCCCGGCTCGGGACGGTGCTCCGAGCCGGGCGGGGGGAGGAAGACCTCCCCCGCCGCCCGGCTCGAGCGGTGCTCCGAGCCGGGCGGTGGGGAGGAAGACCTCCCCGCCGCCCGGCTCGGAGCGGTGCTCCGAGCCGGGCGGTGGGGAGGAAGACCTCCCCGCCGCCCGGCTCCGGAGCGGTGCTCCGAGCCGGGCGGGGGAGGGAACACCTCCGCCGCCGCCCGGCCCGGAACGGTGCTCCGAGCCGGGCGGGGGAGGGAACACCTGCCGCCGCCGCCCGGCTCGGGACGGTGCTCCGAGCCGGGCGGGGGAGGGAAGACCTCCGCCGCCGCCCGGCTCGGGCGGTGCTCCGAGCCGGGCGGTGGGGAGGAAGACCTCCCCCGCCGCCCGGCTCGGAACGGTGCTCCGAGCCGGGCGGTGGGGAGGAAGACCTCCCCCGCCGCCCGGCTCGGAGCGGTGCTCCGAGCCGGGCGGGGAGGGAACACCTCCGCCGCCGCCCGGCCGGAGCGGTGCTCCGAGCCGGGCGGGGGGAGGAAGACCTTCTGAAGGCGGGCGGGGGCGAAGTCTTTGCTCCCCTGCCTGCCTGTCCCGGAGGGCTTTTGAAGGCGGGGAGCAAGACTTTCGCCCCGCCCGCCTTCAGAAGAGGTCCAGGACCTCTTCTGAAGGCTGGCGAGGGCAAAGTCTTTGTCCCCCTGCCTGCCTTCCCAGGGGCTTTAAATTGCCCCGGACAGCGGAGAAGTCCTCCGCTGTCCCGGGTGATTTTAAATGCCGCCCGCCAGCATTTTAAGATCGCCCGGACAGCGGAGAAGTCCTCCGCTGTCCCGGGGTTTTAAAATGCTGGGGGTGGGAAGAAAAGCCCTTGCCCCCAGCCTTCAGAAGAGGTCCGGGGACAGACTGTCCCCGGACCTGGTCTGAAGGCGGTTTCCCTAGGAACGCATTAATTGATTTTCAATGCATTCCTATGGGAAACCGTGCATCGCAAGACGAAAAACTCGCAAGACGAAGAGACTTGCGGAACGAATTAATTTCGTCTTGCGAGGCACCACTGTATTTTGTTTCAACTACGGCAGACCAACACGGCTACCTACCTGTAACTAGAACATTATTAGAACATTACTCTAGTTTGGGCAAATATGCACCTTTATGGACAAACAAGAATGAGTTTAGTGAATATGAAATAATATATTTTCAAATCTTAAGTGGTTTCTGTTTTATATCTGATGAAAAGGAAGGCAATGTTAGGACCAAGGTAACTGTGAGAGGCAGTGGAAGACAGGAGTGCCTGGCGTGCTCTGGTCCATGGGGTCACGAAGAATCAGACACGATTAAATGACTAAACAACAACAAACTGTATGTTTAGGGTGGCTTTACAAAGAGGAACAACCTTTTAACACATTTCCACCACAGTTTTACAACCACAGTTTCACCACTACTAAGATAAATTTGTTATTCTGAATTAATTAACCTTGAATAAAAAGGGTTGCAATTTTGCTACACAGTGCTTTCAAATAAAATGATTAGTGCAGTCAAAACAGGAAATAATATGAACTCAGCATTTTATAAAACTTCTTTAATTCACTCTTTCTTTACATGAGTATTTATAAGCACCTTGTAATTTACTCTTGATAAAAAAAATCAACAAGAAACAGGAATGATTTTCATTAGGAAAATATGTCCAGGCTTAAGAATGTGCATATGAAGATAAAAGTAAAAACATGGATAGTTTGCATACCAAGACTACAACCTTGATCTTGAATTGATTCAATCCATTTTGGCTTTGTCACAACACAAAGCTTCTATCAACACAATCCTAGACAACCAGTGGAGATAAAATGCATGCACAGCTGAAGGTGTTCTGAAAGTTTTTACTGCAGCCAGTCATCTCACAAATGAGTTGTATATTGCCAGTAATAAACATTTATTTATGCCGCTATAGTTATTTGTAGGGGATAGTGCTGTGTGGAAACTTAGCATCTCAATTTCTTGATTTTTTTTTCTTCTGCTGCAAAACAGGCTCCCATCTGCTTCCATTATACATTGCTCCAGTGCCCTGTGGTTTTCCTTTTTTTAAAAAAAAATCTGATGACCTCTTCCCCTGAGCTTTAATTGAAGGACAGGAAGTCGGGAAGCGAGCTGAATGCCTGAGGTCAGTGAACTTGTTAATTTTGTGTTTAAAAGAAATCATTAATTTACTATTTGTTTTATTTATTGCATTTATATCCCACCTTTCTGCCGAAGCACCCAAACGCTTTGCAATTTTAAAATACTAAAACAAATAATAAAAAGTATAGTAAAAATAATTTGGGGCGGGGATAAACAGCAGTCAGGCACACAGTGGAGAGCCCCGCCTTTCTGTGCTTATAAGAAAGCTGATTTGAAGACATTGTGAGATTTTCAGGAAACTCAGTCCCCCAAGAAGGCAGTAGAATGCAAACCACTGGAAAGATGATTTGCAGAATGAAAGAAAGGATGGTCACAAACAGGTAATCAGAACAAAACGCACCCAAATCCATGAGAATTTCACCAAAATCCCCTTTCTGATAAATTACGGATGCAGTTTATTTTCTCATTAATAGTATTTGCAGAAGGAATTTAGATTGAAGCACTTCTCTGTTGCATGGCTGGCTGGGATGCCTCCAGCCTGTCAACATGAAAAGAAATGTGGTTTGTTTTTGAAACCAAGCATTCCTTTCTTCTTGCTCTGCATTTCACACATCTATTACTAACCTATTTGTTCCTTTAAAAAAATTAATGGAATTATGTCCACCATTGTTCAAGTCATAAGCAAGGCCATATGTGTGCAGTTGCCATTTGATTCATATTATTAGACTCTGGGATGGTACTATACATGTTGAGTCAACTTTTGATTTAGACCTTCTCCAACAAAGTCATTTGCATGGATTCATTCATAAGTGTGTATACAACAACAACAACAACAAATCACCATACCAGTGTTTTCTGGTCTACCTATTAAAAGTCTCTCTCTTTCTCTACTTTCACAGAAACATACAAAAAATAAGCTACAAAAATTGCTTACACTTGATTTCAGCACAAAAAAAAGCTTTTTTGAGAAAGAATGGTTTTGTTCAGCCATCATAAAAGGAATGTCAGTAAACAATAAATACAATGTGCTTTCCCCCCTCCATATCAACATATTTACACTTGAGTCTTTGGCTTATGTTTAGATTTCTTTATAAAGAACTTTGATCAGGCTGTCATTGCACATTAAAACAAAATAAGCCAGTTATCATACATATATATCTATATATATATTTTTTCTTGCAACACATGAAACCTATAGAGACTATCAATCTGCACAGTTTTGTTTTACTTTTTAACAGTTTATCAAATTAAGAACGAAAGGAAAATAAAATGTTGACTAGAATAGATACATGCAACAGATGGTGGTTCTAGTGTAACCGAGAAACAACTGAATATACAAACACTGGAAAAATCCTACCTCGAACAGCAGACGTGCTCTGCCTCTGCTCTTCTTTATTTTTGTGGCACTATATGTTCATACTGTGTACAGGCATAGAAACAGTTCTTTATATATATATTTATATATAATTAAGATACACCATTTATTAAGAAAAATACTTTTGCATTTAAAAATTAAGTCTCCCTCTTCACTAAAATCTTTCTTCACAGGTTCAACAGCTGATGCCAAAACAGTTTATTAAATTTCTTATTATTTGGTTCACTTGATTGCATCCACCCTTTTCTGACTAAGATGATTCGAGGTACTCAAGTGCAACGTCGTAGCAGAAACGATATTGCTCCTAAGGGGAGGAATGCAAAGAGTCAGTCAGATCATGCAATAAATAAATAAATAAAATGAGATAAGAAGTGACATTCCTTAAAACTGCATGATTTGCTTTGACAGTATCAAGACTTTACTTTGATATGAATTTATTTTTTTGTAATGCTTAGGTGCATGTGTTGCTGCTATAGCTTGAGATGCATCTTAAAGCAAGATGGTCTAGGAATCTCCTTGTGACTAATGGTTTGCATCCCTGTGATTCTTTCAGCTACTCTACCAGATAGAAAACAAACAGTTTTCATTAATCAGTTTGAAGAACTTTACCGCCTCATCATGGACAACATTCATTTCACAAAGTCAAACAGCATCCAGCCATTAACAAACATCTCTGCTGCTAAACTGAAAGGAACCGAAGTCCAGCTTTTCCCGTTGTGACAGGGAGCTCTGTAAGGTCAAATATCTAAGAATTTCAATTTCAATCTGTTGGTAAGTAGAGATGTACAGCAAGAGTTCGCAGCTGGACTGTACAAAGTTATGCATTCTGAGATACGTGTTTTGCTCCAAGGTCCACTCTCAGGGAGAAAAGAAATTCAGATCCTCACTAAGATGAAGATTTTCTGCATTCTCAAAGGGAGAGACAGGGAAATTCCCCTCGCACTCCCACTGCCCCATCCCCCAGCCCTAAGTCTAGAAACTTAATCTTGTAAGCAGGAAGTGGGGAAAGCTTTCTGAAAGCTTCCCCCCCCCCTTCTTTTTGGTTATCTGATCATCTTGCTAAATGTAGGGCAGGTAACAAAGCTACATGGGTTTTCTTGGCTTGCTTCCTCACCTAGCTTGAACAGCTGCTGTGTTCAAGATGGTTCACCTACATAATACAGGGACACTGAAAACATGCAACTACAGAGCAAGATTGCAATGAAGTATAAGTATTTTTTTCCATTTTCTGTGCTAAAGATTAAATAGTAACCTGTGAAATTCTAGGCAAGAAGCTTATTGATTACATTACACTGTGTATGTTCTGAAGTGATTTTAATTGCAAAAGTATCAAAAACAGCCTTATTAAAAGTGCCCTCTTAGGAAACAAAACAACCCACCTAGTCCTTAAACCTGTTTGGAAATTCAGCAGCCAAGCAGAGAATACTACAGGATGGGACCTGTAAGTAATTGGAAGTGAAGGGAGGGGGAAAAGCCATTTTTATCTACCTTCTCTCCCCCTACCCCAAGCCTCTACTACCTTTAGTTAAGGATGTTGGGGGAAATTCTGATGAAGACAGAAGCAGAAATTGCTGATGTTCACTTGTTTGCCCTATGTCCAGTGTGGAAAACCAATCTAGCATATACTGATTGGCAGGCCTGTGCAGGGAGGCAGCAGGTTAGACTTATCCTGGGTTTCAGAGGGCTAAACCAGCCAGGGGGCCTCACCAGGGACTGGCTGCTTTTTTGTTTGTAACTTTGTTCTAGCAGAACTCCCAAACCCGGGTCTCAGACAAGCTCTGCATGCGCCTGCTGACTGGTATTCATTGGTTTTTGTTTTTCTTCAAGTGTACACATGCTACAAAGTTACTGTTTCCCTCTGTTTACATTGCATTTTGTTTGCATTGAAATGGTGTGGATTAATTATGCCATTAATCACAGCAGACAGCGAGAGAACGTAAACCAAACTGCAGTAGAATTGAAACAGCGCTGACTGTGATCATGATAGGTTGGAATGTTAATTGTTGTATTCTTATGGCCCAGCTTTTAGTTTGCTGTATCTGACACAGCTTCATGCTCTCATTGCCTCCTACCCTTCCCATAGGCCAGGGGTAGGCAACCTAAGGCCTGGAATCCGGATGCGGCCCAATCGCCTTCTCAATCTGGCCTGCAGAGGGTCTGGGAATCAGTGTGTTTTTACATGAGTAGAATGTGCCCTTTTATTTAAAATGCATCTCTGGGTTATTTGTGGGGCATAGGAATTCGTTCATTTTTTCCCCAAAATATAGTCCGGACCACCTCATGGTCTGAAGGACGGTGCTGAGAAAGGTTGCTGACCCTTGCCATAGACGTGCCCTGCACCTTCCACTCCTTTTTGCTTTCTTACACTATGGGAAAAGGAAAAAAACCACCCACTAGCTAATATACTAATAGCTATTTCTGTTTTACTATAGGTGGTGACAATTTTAAGTGCATCCAATTGACGTGTGATCACTGACACATGGGTCCTTTTGGACCCGGAAGAAGGCAGAACGGCGGCAGGAGGCACTTATATGCACTCTGCCGATGTGCATGGGGCTGCTGCGAACAGAACCCTCACACAAAATCTCCCTTCCCCCAAAGCATCAAAATAGGGCTGTCAAGGTCACCTGTCCCTTCCGTTTAAAAGGAAACAAACAGACTGAGGTGAGTTTGGCTTCTTTTTCTGTTTTTTTGTTTTTGTTTGTTTGTTTTTAAGATGGGGCTAGTCTTACCTTACTGTTTTTTTTTTGTGGGGTAGCCTGGTTCTTTTGTCTGTTTTCTTTGTTTTGGGTCTAGGTGTGTGTGTTTTGCATGTGAATATATGCATATATATGTGTGTGTATGTGTGATTTTGACTGTGTTTTTTGTGGGTTGACTAGAAGGCATAGATCATGGGGTGAGCTAACTGGAGGGTAAGAGCGACCTTTAGCTCCCTACAGCTGACTTGTGAAAAGTGAAAAGTTCCAGAAACGCTAAGGCCGTAGGGCAACTGTATTTCCTGTAAATACAGAATTCCAGCCTGGGCCTTTTAACCTCAACCAGCTATATGAGAACATGGGTAGTAGTAGTAAGCAAGTGACTTGTGTCTCTGTGTTCTCTATAGCAGGAGTAGCCAGCATACTGCCCTCCAGATGCTGTTAAGCTCCAACTCCCATGAGCTCCAGCAAGCATGGCCAACTGTCAGGGCTGAAGGGAGAGAAATCCACCAACATCTGGAGGGCATGGTGTTGGCTCTATAGCCTGGCCTGTTGCCTTACTGTAGGCTCTGGACAGCCTCCTTTCTGTTGAGAGCCCTCAGAGGTATTCAATCAAGGTCCTCATAACAAAGGAGGGTAGGCGTGAAGCCAGTGATGGCAGGGGCCACTATGCCTTTTCTCTCTTTCTCTCAATGTTTGTTGATTCAGCAGGAACAGATTACTCCTGCCAGAGGGCTTTTGAAACTAGGTGGAGGACTGTAGGTTGCCACCCCTGCCTTAGAGCTACTTTCTCTCTTCTTCTCTCCCAAGGTATCATGTCATCTGTAGATTATAGATTGTGATAGCTTCCTGACACTGTATACCAAATCACACAGGAAGTGAACTTTGAGATGTTTC